TTTTGTAAGACCATTAAGGCTAGTTCCAAAAAGAAAAACATACAAATATTTTCTTAAAGTTATGGTGAAGTCCCATGCACAACATAAGCAAACATTTAAAGGACTAGTAGTGCAATAAAAATGCCCTAAGTGAACTGGGCTAATATATATAACATGAAAAAGGTCAAGTGATTTGCAGCATCTAATCCAAAAAGTTTGAGAATGATAGAAAATACTGAGTAGTCATCAACAAGTAGATACTATTATTATCCTCTAATTGAGAAATGAAAAATATAATCTTGACTGCAATAAATTTTACTCTTCTTCGGTTTCAGTATGTTCAATTTTAAAGTGGCCGCTTTTAATGTCAGCTAACCATCTTCTTCTATCACCAGTGAGAATTTTTTCAAATCCCTTCTTCAAAGACTCTTGGCTTAGCTTAGAGTGTGCTAACTGAACCAATTTGAGCTCCGGATGGCTGACTGCCAAAGATCCAGCTGGATTTTTGGTCTTGGGAAAAGCAGCTTCCACATCGCCACCAAGGGCATCAGCTACCAGAAAGACAATCTTTCAGCTACCTGTGCAAATATACTGATAATGAGAATAGAAAAAACTAACACAAGAGGTCGTTAAGTGCTTGCCTAAGTTTTATTTTTACTAAGTCCGAATCCTTTTGTTGCTTTTGACCAGCTGATCCGCCAACAATTTTTTCCAAATCGCCTTGTATTTCACGTGCATGGCTGTAGGCTTCAAAAGTTTCTTTTGCCGACCATTTCTTCTTGGCCAAGGCAAGCCATGCTGCATCATTTGAGTACTCCTTACAGAAACTATTTTTTCCCGGAGATCGTGTGGCTGTCAGTAGATAGTAGGTTGTATTGTATACATTCGAAATGGTGTACAGCTGGTTTGTTCATAAGCTGCCATTAGTGTACAATAAAGTGAGTAATTTTGAAATAAGTAATTCACTCACCTCGGAGTTCAGCTTGAGTGTGGCACTCAAAGCTTTTTTATAGGTTTGACTGGTATTTTCACCCTGACATTCCGATCCTTTAGCAGCAACTATGTTAACCTTTTCGATGTTCACCAACTTATCGTAAAGTGGTTTATATAATTCGATTTCATCAGTGGTCAAATCCGATTCTTCTTCATCGTCCTCAGCCTCATCTTCAAAGTCGCATGGTATTCCAGAGAAGTGTTGGAAGATCCGGGCACTAAAAACAGCCTTCTCATCAACATCCAGCAATTTCCAAGCCTTGCCGATCTCTATGTTTCGCTCCTCCCACCCTTCGGAGGCACCCTTTGGCGGAACTGTGATAGGGAAATAATCAGTGTCAAAGATGTTTCAAAAGATGTTTCCAGAAATTACCTGGATATTTCAAACTCTCAAGGCTGAATGCAGCAAATCGGTTCCATCCACTTTTTCTACGGGGGGGCTTGTTTTCTCCGCTGAAAAGTTGATATGAAACATCATCAGTTCTAATCCTTAGACTGAAGGTAATGTATGACTTAGAAAAAAAACTTACAGAAACTTGGTGACTGTCTTTTCCGCAACATTTCCAATTAGAGCCAACATGAGCTTGCTTTTCATATAGTTTTGCTGAAGCAACTCTAATCTTTCTTGAACCTCAGGTGAAATGCGAATATTGGAGGTGCCGTGTTTTTTCTTCTGCAAGGTGGCTCGGAGTTTGCTTAACGACCAAGATTCCAAGTGGGATTAAAACTTGTCCAAATCCAAACCGACTTCTTCATCTTGGGGTGGCCTGTTTGATGTGTGTTGGTTTTTGCTGGTTGGGTTGGCTTGTTTGGTTTTGGAACTGGTTGGATTTTCGGGTTCATCTTCAGAAGTGGAATCCGGATCTGGATTGGAATTGGAATTGGTGGAGATTCTGGGGCGCTTTCTGCTTGATTTGGTCTTTGAGGCTTGACTTTGTCCACCAACATTAGATTTCACTCTAGTTGTTTTTTTTTTTGAGAAGAGAGCACTGTAGATTTTCTATTTTGATTTAAGGTTGTCTGTGTATGTTGGCTGATCGTGTTCGCATTTTGGTTTTGGAAGATGTGTAGGTGGGTGTTTGTATGTAGATGTTTGAGTGGTTGGAGCTGTGTGGAGGTGAGTGGATAATTGACTAGGAGTGTTGGGGAGGTGGGTGAAGAAGTCGGAGCCGGAGCTGGTGGGGAGGTGGGTGAGGGAGTT